TTTTGCCGATCGGCGCTAGATCTTGGCTGTTTTTGGCGCCTTTTTCAAGCATGTGGAGTCTCCCCCATAAGGCGCACTAATGCAAGCAGTCGCATTAAGCAGAGGTTTGGAGCCAGACCCCCCCCTCCCCCCCCCTTCCGCCCAATTTCGAGACGCCGAATAAGAAAACTTGCACCTTCTGGCAAAACAGTTGAATTCTTCCAGGCCGTCCGCCCCGCAGCCAAGGCCATCAACCTGCAGCAGCAAGAGGATGCGCAGACAATTGCCAGGTGTGCTTGTGCGCCATCAAGGCTACCCGAGCTAGGCCGACACCATGACCTACCAGCTTTCGGCCGAATTTATGACTTGGGCTCGGTCATTTCGCATGCGTTGCGATGCTGATTTCAACTTCTTCTGCGCTGTTTCTGTTTCTTCTTCTTCTTCTCCCTGCTCCGCCCCTTCCTTGTCTGTTTCCTGTTTTGCTGGTTTTGCATGTGTGGCCGCATGGGGCATGGTTTTTTTCACACAACGTCGTGGTTCACTGTCCTGGAACACGAGTCCGTGCTTAGGCTCGCCTGTGGCGGTTTTGCCAGTGAGCTCTTCTTTGCCGCCTGACGTGCGTTTGTTCTCCGTGTCCTCCTCCTCCTCCTCCTCCTCCTCCTCCTCCTCCTCCTCCCCATCTTCCTGCTTCTCTTCGGAACGTGTTTGCATGGTGGAGTCTCCTTCCCATCAGTTGGAAGTTGGCAACTGTCATCATCGTATGGTCTTTTCGAGGGCAGGTTTTCGGCCGAGACATCGGCCCCGCCCTTGGCCGACTGGACATTCCACAGCACAAGCCGGTTGGAACGCCCCACGAGGTGCCTTGGTTGCACACATGTGCACCCTTTCAACTCTGCCAGGCCGCCTCGAGCAGATCCAGTGGGCCAGTGGGATGGGAGCTGGGGTGGGGGAAAGGAGCGTGGTGTAGCTGGGGGAGGAAGCTGCGTGCGTCACTTGCTATCAAGGGCCCGCCGATCGGCGTCACCCCAACATACTTGCACTATATGTGCGTCGCCCCCCCAGGGGCGACGCACGCACAGAGAAATCTTACAGTATATGCGTCGTGGCGGGCGCTTTCTGGCCACACCGCTCGGGAAACGATATACTACAAGACGGGTATACTATATGCTCGGGTCGGACGCGCGCCTCCAAGGAGGACAGACAGTATTAGTACGTCTCTGTGCGTCTCAGCCGATGTTATTTGCTGTTTCCCCTAACCCCTCGGATCTGGGGGTGGAGTCTCGAAGGCGTTGGGGGCCCCGCCCCTGTTTTTCCCCTCGCCTAGCCCTCCCTCCTCGCGCCTCGTCTTCCTCGCCTTCGGGCACGGCCCAAACCGACCCAATGCTTAAGTCGGGTACGTCCCCGTACAGGAGGGATATGTCAACAGAGTCAAACACAGTCTGGGGACGTTTCTTTTTTGTTGTTGTTATTGTTGTTGTTGTTGTTGTTGTTGTTGTTGTTGTTGTTGTTGTTGTTGTTGTTGTTGTTGTTGTTGTTGTTGTTGTTTTTGTTTTTGTCGGCTAAAGTAAAATAAGCATTTAGATGTTTTGATATTTTCCCGACTGTTCTTATTCTTATTACGATCATGATGATGATGCTTATCGTTCTTATTATTACGATCATGATGCTGATGCTTATCAATATTCTGTTAATTACTGTTGTTATTTTCATTCATATCATTTTTTGTTATTAGTATTGTTATTAGTATTGTTATTCTTATTTGTATCATTATTATTGTTATTCGTATCATTATTATTGTTATAATGAGATGTCCATTATTCTTTTTACTAGTCTTATTGTTGTTATCGTTATTAGTGTCATCATCATTATTAGTGTGATCATTCGTATATCATTCTTCCTATTATTATTATTATTAGTATTATTATTATTATCATCATTATTATTAGTAGTAGTATTATTATTATTTTGTTATTCTTGGTATTATTGTTGACATGATTCGCATTACTCATATTAAGTAGTTTGGGGTATTGCTCGTTTTTCGGGGTATTCTTGTTTTTGTGCAACATCGCCCTGTAGGGGGGCATGCCCGACCTACGCCAAGTCTTATACCTTTGCGCCCTCCAGAGTTCAGTAGGGCACCCGGGAGGGGAGAGGTGCCGTCGGTCATCGTGGCACAGCCTTCGGTGTCAGCCTCATGCGAACAGATCCTCGATGCCGTTGCATTCGTCGGGCGACGACGATGACGTCGACACCGCCGCCGCGGCGGCAGTCGAGAGCCGAGGGATACCGAGCACCTGCCGAGGGGCCGCCAAAAGGCCATGGATGGCCGCCCGCGCGCGAGCGGGGTCGTCGCTTTCGCCGTCGCAGTCGCCGTCGCCCTCGCCGTCGCCGTCGCCCTCGCCGTCGTGGTGGTTCGGGCCCTACGAAAGCGGGGGGATAGGGAAAAGGGGGGTTACGACATTTGCTGCATGCCGCTGGTTTCGGCCCGCCGCCGGGCCCATTCTTCGATACATGGGCGCCT